ACAAGGGAGACAAAAAGGAGACACAAAAGGAGACACAAAAGGAGACACAAAAGGAGACACAAAAGGAGACACAAAAGGAGACACAAAAGGAGACACAAAAGGAGACACTTTAATTAATTAAAAGGAGACACTTAAATATATTAAAAGGAGACAGAGGAAGAAGAAAAAAAAGAAGGAAACAATAAATAAATAAAAGGAGACAATAAATATATATAAGAAGACAGTAGGGGAGAAAAAGGAAACAATAAATAAATAAAAGGAGACAATAAAGGGGGAAAAGGAGACAAAAAGGAGACAAAAAGGAGACAGTAGGGAGCAAAAGGGAGACAATAAATAAATAAAAGGAGACAGTACCTGAGGGCAGCCAAGGTTTATATCAACAGCAGCAACTGTCTCCTGCAGCAACGTTGCTGCCTCCACCATATGCTCAGGCTTGTTACCTATACAGACACAGCAGCAGCAGCAGCAGCAGCAGCAGCAGGTTCAGACACAGCAGCAGATGCAGCAACAGCAGCAGCAACTGCAGGAGAGGGGACAAAAAGAAGAATACAGCTAGACAATAAAAAGGAGACAATAAGGAGACAGTAAGAGGACACAATAAAAGGAGACAATAAAAGGAGACAATAAAAGGAGACATATAAAGGAGGCAATAAAAGGAGACAATAAAAGGAGACAATAAAAAGAGACAATAAAAAGAGACAATAAAAGGAGACAAAAAGGAGAAAAGAAGGAGACGGTAGGAGGAGACAGTAGGAGGAGACAGTAGGAGGAGACAAAAAGGAGACAAAAAGGAGACAAAAAGGAGACAAAAAGGAGACAAAAAGGAGACAGTAGGAGTATACGTACCGCATAATTGAGCAATAAGAGGGACTTGTGTATCATAGATAGTGCAGGTGTCTCCTTCTCCCTCTGCAGACCTCCACCAACCCTTTTCCTCGCTGCTGCTGCTGTTGCTGCTGCTGTTGCTGCTGCTGTTGCTGCTGCTGCTGCTGTTAAGGAGTCTTTGTCCCTCTATTGTTGTGTCTTTAGGTGTCGCCTGCAACTGCCATTGCTGCATGCGGTACTTTGGCTCCTCAGCAAACAGCCTGCAGCAGCAGCAGCAGCAGCAGCAACAGCAGCAGCAGCACATGCAGCAGCACCAACGGCAGCAACAGAAGCAGCAGCAACGCCGCCTATTGTGCATCTAACGTGCCGTCGCCACAACAGCAGCAGAAGCAAATGCAGCAGCAGAAGCAGCAGAATCGACGAGTTGAAGCAGCAGCAGCAGCGACACAGGAGCAGCAGCAACAGCAACAGCAGCAGCAGCAGCAGCAGCAGCAGCAAAGTTCACCTGCTGTGTATCATAGGTGAGTAAGAGAGCTCAACTCCTTCACTCTCACATAGCAACCTGCAGCAGCAGCAGCAACAGCAGCAGCAGCAGCACAAGAAGCAAAGGGATAGGAACCTGCTGCTGCTGTTGCTGCAGTGTGGCTGCTGTTGCTGTTGCTGCTGCTCCTGCCATTAGTGTTGCTGCTGCAGTAGCTGCTGCTTGTATTGTTGCTGCAGTAGCATAATGCATATCGTTGTCCCCCTGGTGATGCTCCCGTTGCTGTTGCTGCTGTTTCTGCTGCTACTGCTGTTCTTCTTCTCCTGCTGCTGCTGCTGCTGCAGCAGCAGCAGCAGACTGCATGCACATAAATACCTGAATGGTAGTTCGCTTTGATCGACCATCGGCGCTAAGACAAAACGCGGAGAACCTAAAGAACGCCAAAAGCTGCTGCTGCCCCCCATCTTCCTTGCAGCAGCAGCTGCTGCTGCTGCAGCAGCAGCAGCAGCAAGAGCAGCAAGAGAAGCAGCAACTGCTGCAGCAACTCTGCAGCTAAGATGAAGAAACCTGCGGAGCCTAGGTGGGTAGAGCAGCAACTAATTCTGCTACAGGTATAACTTGTGCAGCAGCAGCAGCAGCAGCCAATGTTGGCTGCTGCTGCTGCTGCTGCAGGAAGCAGCAACTCGTTTAGGGCTTCCTATTTAGCAGCAGAAGGGTAGAAGGTTTTGGTCCTACTGCAGCAGACTGCTGCTGTTCCTGCTGCTGCAGCAGCAGCAGCAGCAGGAGTACCCTTCTGGCCCCACAAAGGGGCCCCGCTCTCGATTTCTTGCTGCTGTGGGACTCGTTGCTGCAGCTGCTGCTGCTGCTGCTGTTGTTGAGTTTATTATTATTGCTGCTGTTGTTATTGTTGCTGCTGCTGCTGCAGCAAGTCCTTGTGGGGCGCAGCACCGGGGCCCCCAGTCAACTGGGGGGCCCCCCATAGAGAGAGAAGCTGCTGCTGCTGCTGCTGCTGCAGCTTCTATATTAACAAACTTTTAATTAAATAATTAATTAATTAATTAATTAATTATATAAATAAATAAATTTGTTGATTAATTAAGAGGGAATAAGGAGAGAGCAGCAGCGAGCAACTGCAGCAGCAGCAACCACAGCAGTTCAGTGTTGTTATACATCCATACAATACACCTTAGCCCACCCCCGCGCAGCGCTGCTGCTGCTGCTGCTGCTGCGCCGACAGCAGCAGCAGCAGCAGCAGCAGCAGCAGCAGCAACGACCATTGTGACTAAGAAGACCCTTGAGAGATTTTTTATTTATTGCTTAGCTTAAAGTCTCCCCTTTCTTTATTATTCGCTACTCTATAGCAGACACCTGCTGCTGCTGCTGCTGCTGTTGTTGCTGCAGCTGCTGCAGCTGCTCGAGCGGACCGTGCTGCTGACTGGACGTCTGTTGCTGCTGACAGTAGTCGCAGCAGCAACAGCAGCAGCAGCAGCAGCAAGGATTTGCTGCAGCACAACTGTCTTTCTCTTATTTATTAAAGTAGTTATATATTTATTACTCAGTGAGCAGCAGCAGCAGTAGCAGCCTTGCTGCAGCCGCTGCAGCAGCAGCAGCAGCAGCAAGGCAACGGCAGCAGCAGCAGCAGCAGCAGCAATTGCCATACATCCTTTTCCGTTAAACAATAATTTGCAGGTGTATAAGTGTGTCTTTTATTTGCGTCATCTGCTTCTCCTCCAGCAGCAGCTGCTGCAGCAGCAGCTGCTGCTGCTGCAGCAGGAGGCTCCAGGCTGCTCCGTTTACCGCTAAATAAGGATAATGCATGCCGCAGCAAGAGAACACAAGGGCCCCGAGGGGCCCCTGGGGCCCCCCTCCCTTCGTTCTACCTGGCTACGAGGTGTGGGGCCCCCGTCAACCTGCTGGACCTCTCAGCAGCCCTCAGCAGCAGCAGCAGCAACAACAACATCAAGAGCAGCAGCAACAGCAACAACAAACGGGTACCAACAGAATCATCATGACGAGGAGAATAAGAATAAGGAGAACCATGAACAGCAGCAGCAACAGCAGGAGCAGCCGCAG